AAAACAACAGACTGATGGCTGAACTATGGAAACAGGAAACCTATAAGAAATGCGTAGTTAGAGTTAGGTTCTCATATAATAACAAACCTGTAAAGATTAAAAGAACTTGTCAAATGACATTCTGCTCTGTTATTAGCCTTTGCTTACCTGGTTACTGTCCTGTAATGGAGAGAATATATCTAAAAGGTCGTCCTGACAATACAGAGTTGCAGCTTAAAAGTCTGAGGAGTATCTCTGAATAACCGTCAGTGACATAAAAAGAAGGACTGTCCTCCCACCAGGAAGTTTAGCCTGAGCTCACAAAGGTAAAAGTCCGCTGCTTCTGGACTGGCACTTGGATATTGAAAGGTCACGCTAGATTGTGACATGAATAATTAAACCGCCAGTGCTAATAATTATTTAGCATCCTTATTAAAACTTAAGGTGATGAGGCTCAAAAGGCTGACCTATAGGGTTGAATCCCGTTACAGACAGATAAATGGAACCTAACCAATAAACAAATAGTCGGAAACCAGAAAAAATGCGCTTGCAAATTGGGTTTACTATGCTCCACAGAGGGAACCAGGGACAAATGTGTCACGGAAGTTGTGAGCAAGCATTTTAATTAAGTGAAAGGACAAAAATAGACAAACTGAGAATATATTGTGTGACTGTGAAACTAACTAATATAATATGTAATCTGTATGTTCATAATTTTGTTTTTTTCTTTTGAGACTGTGAGTTAACTAAAACCTATTTTAAACTTAAACCTGTCATATTAGTATAATTAGCACATTTGCTTAAAAAAAATCCTACAAAGATGACTACATAGCATAGAATATAATATTAAAAATGTAACTAGCAACACAGACTATTATAAAATGAAACCAAACACGACACCCAGAAATAGCGATAAATAAATAATAGCTAGTGTCGCTCCCGGAGCTGTATCCACATCCAGGAAGTAGCTGTTGGGAAAGACTGCTATTATCTTCCTTACAGCTGGGAGAGTTAACTCCTTGTTTTTGACGAAGTCTGATAGTTAATTGTTAGCTAATAAATAAATAGCTGTATTTATTCTGTCGGAAAGGAAACAATGGAAGTCGACTCAGGTATTTTTGAAGTTCGTGCGTTACTTCAGAACATTAATTAACCCAATTTATTTCTACATTAGCTAACTAGCTAATAATGCTAGCCGCTAAAAAGTAGCTAAAAGTTTGTTGTGCTGGTGAATGATTTGACAGAGGGTCATATAACGATTACAGGAAGAC